CAAACTCTCAGTTCATCAAAACAATTCAGTCAATTCCAAATAGGCATGCTAAACTCCAGAAAACAATGAAATTCTCATTTTCATTTCAGTCATGCTCAATTCCCGAAAACAATGAAATTTCCATTTTCATTTCTCAATCATGCTCATTTCCAGAAAATCAATAAAACCCTCATTTTCTTTCCAATCATGCTCAATTTCAGAAAAACAAGGAAATTCTCATAAAAACCATCACAATTTCCATTTCAGTTTAATCACATTCAAATGCAGGTAAAATCAATTTAAAGCTTGCCACCATCTCAAAAACAGTTTAAAACATACTTTAAAATCAGAGGGCTTTTACCATAATTTACTTACCTCACTCGCATAAAACCGAGCACTCAATCTCAGTGCTAACTGACAGAACGATCGGGAACCTAATCAAAACACCTCAGAATTAATACCGGACTATCATAAATTCAAACTGAAATCATCATTAAAATCACTCCTAATCTTGATGCTATTCCTATCAATCTCCACATTCATTCTTATATCACAAACTAATCATTTAAATCCCCGTTAATCGTTGACCCTTGGTGTGTGAACAGTGTTCTGTGAACAGTACCCGTGAACAGTGCGTGAACAGTGACTGCACCTCCAAAATTGGCCAAACACTAGCTAATTCACGGGATTTTCACTCCAAAATCACAACAACCCAATTCAAGCTAATTTCCTACTTAAACCACACTTAAAAACATAGCTTAAAGCTACCAAAATTCATTCCAATTTCCCAGACAAGCAATGGAGACCCACAGCTTTAGCCAACAATGGCTAAGTCACGGGATTACTCCTACACAACATCACAACAGCCCAATTAACAAAATTCCTACATAAACCAAGCACAAAACACATTTAAAATGGCTGCCAAATTCATCCCCTATCCCAGCAGATTCGAGCAACACAGAGCATCAACTAATGGAAAAAACCCAGCAATTAAATGGGTAATTTTAAGCTTGGAAAAGCCGGCAACTTACCAAAATTTAGCAAGCAAAACCGAGCCTAGCAAGGGGGAAAAGCCGGCGGCAAAGAAGAAGAAATTCTGCAGGGGAACTCACGGGAACCACCCAAAATTGAGAGAAACAAGAGGAAATTAAGGTAACCCAACTTAAATCAAAGCTAAAAGGATGAAATCATGGCTGTTCTTACCAGAAAAGCCGAGAATTCACACCCACACAAGCAGAGGCCGACGGATAGAGAGGAGAAGACAACGTAGATCTGGAATTTCCAGCAAAGAGGGGGGATTTCTGGGTTCAAGAACAAGAAAATAGGGAGAAATCCCTAAGCTTTGCCGGTATTCCGGCCGGAAAATGGGTGGCGGTAAGGGGGGAGCTCGTCGGGTGCAGAGGGTCGGGGGAGAGGAAGAGCAGGGCACGCGGGTCTGATGGGGAAAGAAAGAAAGGAAGAAAAAGAAAAAGAAAAAGCAATTCATCCTTATCCTAATTTCCTTTCTTTTTAGTCCCCCAACTTTTAAAGATTTTACAATTAAGCTCCAAAACAATATTTTTTCTCAAATAAGTCCCCAACCAAATGCTAAAATACCCCAAAATTTTGGGATATTACAAATTCAATAGGTCGAGTCAGGCTGGGTTTAAAAACACCATTATCCCCTTCTCCTTGTACACTTTCCCTCTTGTTTGCCTCTGGCTTGAGGCTACTACCATCCTACATCCTTTCACCAATCGTTGCCATAAGTAACCCCCTTGAGACCTTCCCTCCTCACAAGATCCTTAT